CTCTTATGGCCAGTCTCTGATTAGAAGGTCTCTTATGTTATACGGTATGAGGATTGTGAGCAGGGCCATAGGTTTTACTTACATGACTTTTTGACTCGCATGTGTGTTGTATGTACTGGTTTTCATCACACTTTTTTATGTTTGAATGCTTTAGAGAACAACTAATAGAACAATTCACAATTTCTCTTTTTTACAAAATTGTTAATTAATTTCATATCAATGCATAAAAACTTGAAAAATAACTTTTTAGTATTAAAATCTAGATTTTGATTTTAATTCTCACTCTTTCATAAACGTATATTTGTGTGTGATTTGAATTAGCAGGAATGTAGATGATAAAGAAAACAGCTCCAACATAGTAAAAGAGACTCCAGAAGAAACAGGTAGCAAAACACCTCTAAAATTTTCATTTGATTGTGGTTGGCAAAAGCGAGGGACGGGGCATGCTTATAATAGTCTATCAGGTATCAGATATTTGTGTAACAAGTGCGGGAAGTTGAAAATTGGACACGGGTGCGGAGTGGACGCACGAGCCGAAAGCGAGTGCGATCACCCGCACGCGTGTCCAATTTTCAACCCGCACGTGTTATACACACTATTTTATATTACACGAGACTGTGCGGGAATGAGATATTACCGCACTGTTTTGAGTGGTGTGTGGAATTGGCTATTTGTCGCACAAAAAACACGCGCGTAATGGGCCACTTTCCACGCACGTGTAATATAAAAATGTTTTTCTAAATACTTTCCAAAAGTACAATATTACATACCCATACAATATTGTTTCTTAGGTCATTCCATGATTATCGGCTACCATTCAGGTAAGGTAGCTTCGTATGCAGTACGGACTAAGCAATGTAGAAAGTGTCAACTTGGGCACTCCGAGACAGATCACGACTGTAGACGGAATTATAATGGAAGTGCGAAAAGCATGGAGCCAGATATGGCAGTGGAACTTTTTACAAAAAATGAATTATTTGAGGAGGCAGGAGTGTACGCTTCAGTTATTATCGGTGATGATGACTCCAGCACAGTAGCTGGTGTTCGTAGGAATGCTACTCACGAGATTGAAAAGTGGTCAGATTTCAATCACACACTGAAATCGTTTACCTCGGCATTGTATTCTATGAAATTGTCGCCAAAACTCATTGAATATTTTTCTCGATGCTTCTCGAGTGCGGTCAAACAGAATAAAGGCAATACCGAGAAAGTGAGAGCTGCATTGGAGGCAATAGTTCCTCACGCGTTCGGGGATCATCAATTATGTGGTGATTGGTGCAAATCGCATGTAAATAATAACTATAAGCACAATAATCTGCCGCATGGAAAGCCACTTGCAGATGAGGAGTTGCGTGAGAAACTACATGCTCTTTTATCGCGATTTGCAAGAAACGCGGAAAAAATCGCTCCATGTGGTTGCACACAAGCTAATGAATCGTTAAATAATGCCGTAGCGAGCAAAACTCCAAAGGCTCGTCATTATTCTGCATCGGAATCTCTTCATTACCGCGTAGCTACTTCAGTATGCCAGAAGAATGATGGTTATACGTATATAGCAAAAGTATACAACAAGCTCCTGCTTTCTCCTGGCAGTGCTCGCACATTAGCATATCGGCTACAAAAAGATAAAAAAAGGGAGATCAGGGCCAAGCTCTCCAAAACTAAAGAAATCAAAAAAAGAAGACTTTATGCAAAGAAACAACGATCTATCGCCACTGCATCAAGACAGCGGCAAGAGGGATTGACTTATGAATCTGGAGTATCATGCTACAACGTTTCAGATTTATTTGAGAATACTCCACGTGCAATGAACGATCCCAACAATTTTGAAAATGATAATTACAGGATAGTTTACTTTGACCTAGAAACTACAGGTCTTAGAAGTACTGACCAGATTTGTCAAGTGATTAAAAAAAATACTATACAGTTGAGATAGATTTTTGTACAAAAATTATTGAGACCTTTTTTTAGATAGCAGCATATGATGGGGTATCAACGTTCAACGCCTACATAACTCCATCCATACCCATCTCGAGGTCAGCATCCGCAATAACCGGAATGCAAATCATCGATGGGGATATGTATGTACACGAAGATTTGGTACAGACAATACCCGTGCGAGCTGCTGTGGACGGATTTTTGAAATATCTTGAGGAGATAAGCGGCAAAGAAAATAGGGCCTGCCAGATAATTCTTTTATCCCATAATGGCTTCAAGTGAGAAAATATTTGTTTTCAACCGGTCAAGTAACTGTATAACATTTGCTTTTAAAATTTTTAGATTTTTGACTAATTATTTATTCAACTTTTTGGGATCCTTGAAATACGTAGAAGCCATTCAGCAAATGATAAGGCTGATAAATAAATAATGAATTACTTATGTATTATTGCAAATTTTATTATTTATGACAGAGCTGATTACAGTTGCTTGCTTTATTGGTAGATTTGAGAGTAAGGTTTATTATTTTCTGTACATTTGATCTATTATTCCATACAGATTCGATGTTCCAAGAATATTGTCTCTAATTGTTAAATTGGGAGTGATGGAGACCTTTAAAAAAACAGTGAGCGGATTCGCAGATACTCTCGATATTTTGAGGAATGCACTTCCAGAGAGGCGAAAAAATAAACAGAGCTTTTCGGTAAAAGCTCTTTTACAAGATTTCCTTCCAGGCAAAAATCACGAGAACCTTCACAATGCTGTCGATGATGTTATCATGTTGAAAAAAATTATCGATTATTTAAAAATAGATGATTTGCTGATCAAAAAGTTTGCTAAGAGCGTTACAAACATGATAGATGAAAAGAATAGAAAATCCATTATATCCGCTAACAAAACTTCGCTACGATCAGTATACCAGAACAAAATTTCAGCAAATTTAATTCAAAAAATGGCTAAAGCAGGTATAAACAGAAATATACTAGAGGAAACTTTCACGAAAAATGGTTATGATGGTATCAGAGTTTTGTTTGGAGAGAGCATCGATGGCAAGGCTCGAGTCACTACGTCAAAAAAACTAATTGACAAAGTTTATTCCTTGTTCTCAGATAAATAAAGATATAAATTATATGTTTTGTTGTTTATTGATAAAACTTGTATTTTACATAATTTTAGAACGAGTACTCCTCCGTAAGCGCTCGTTAGGTTAGGTGCTTAAGTT